TCCAAATGCCTGGGCCTAGACCTCCCGCCATTCCCAGCCAGCATTGCTAATCTACTGCCGAATGTAGTGACAAACTCAGAGGCACGATCCGAGCCTCCGCACTAAGGAAGGGTTGTTTCTGTGTGAGGCAACTTCCTGTTTAGAGCAGGGGTCCCCAAACTTTTTCAACAGGGGGCCAATTGACAGGTGCCAGCGGTGCCCGCAGGCCGCCAAGGCGGTGCCGCTGAGGGGGGTGCGGTGCACTCGCATGCGAGGCAAGGCGAGGTGGGGGGCGCGGGGGGCGAGGTGCTAGCTTGCGAGACTGTCTTCTCTGAGCGAGTCCAAAACAACCTCCTCGTGAGCAAGCCGTGTGCCCACGCGTGCATGGCGAGTGCAAAACCTCTGGTGTGGGCCAGTTAAATGGGCATGGCGGGCCAGATCCGGCCCTTGGCCCTTAGTTTGAGGACCCATGGTTCAGAGTACTGTGCTAGTGACAAGTGAGCAGAGCTGTGACTGTTGCCCTCGGTGTGGAAAGGACACTTCGGAGTGGTGGCAGGTGCTTAAGCAAATGCATTGGTTTCTTCAGTACTTTCCCTTCTTACTAATGAGGATGAAGCTTGCCTTGTGTAGAATGTAGAAAGATCAAAGAATATTTCCTGGAAAACAAAACATGGGTGTCATTTCCCCACTTCCTGGGAGGACGGGTAAGTCCCTTCTCAGCTCTTTTCATGAGCCATTGCTGCAATCTCCTCCGCCCTGTGCGTATGGGGAAACTCTGCCAAAACTGACTGCAGCTATTCACATCTCATGGACAGAGGTGGGACATCTCTTTCAGCCCCAGAGCCAAATTCAATTGTACAGAAGCTCCTGGGCCTGAATTTCAGTTGTATGTGGCAGCAAAGGCAGAAGGGGGTGGGAGAAAATACAACTCCCCCCTCCCAAGCATACTGCAGTCTAGAGTCTTCCTGCCAGTAACTTGAGAGAAGCATTTCATTGTTTTAGGATGTGGGAAAAACCAGAAACCATAAAATGACTGGCAGCTGGGGGAAGTGGGATGGGCCATCTGTTGAATTCTGGAGGACCAGATTTGACCCCTGAGCCTGAAGTTCCCCACCCCTGCTATAGGAAATGGTTTGGTCCAGTTTAAAGGTCTGTATTCCTTTAGCCTTCTAAGGCAGAGTAATGTTGCCCATGGTGGCAGAATGGAAAAAAAAAGCCTCGCCCATGTTTACTCCCAATCCATGTTCAGCAGCTGATGCACAATGCAGCCATTGCCATTGGCAGAGTCCACACCGGGCACATCCATACTTAGGGTGGTTTGGAGAGGTAGGCCAAAAAAGAAAAAATAATCCTCAGAGGCAGAATAGAGGCAGGCACACACAACTGGCTCTCCTGCGTGGCTTGGCGTACCATGGTTATATAAGGAAGTTCAACCACTTTTGGTCCAAAGGGCAAATTCCATTTCAACTAAGCTTGGGGGGGGGGGGGTCACATGACTGTGATGAAGACAAAAACCAAAATACCAAAATTAACAGCACATTTTAGCTTAATGGTCTAGATGCCAGTAACTAAGCTCTAGGAGAGAGAATCTGGACTTTTAGCATAAGGAGAAAACTGCACAGGTGGGAAAACACCAAATGATTGGTGGCTGGGGTCAAGATTGGTGACCTTCTGAGTCGATTGGGGTATTAAGCAGGCCCTGGGCCTGCGGTTTTGCACCCCTGTGGTACGGAGAAGAGGCCCATATGTGACCCGTGCAGTTAGTGTTGTTGTGACTGAAAACATTCCACAGGAGTTGACAGCACTAGGTCAGAAAATGGTGCTCGCAGGTGCCATGAAATCCTTTCTGTCTCCTCCCAAATGAGCACACTGCTGAGCCCTGCTGTGAGCCAGCCCCCTTTTCACAGGAAAGCAGCGCTGCAGCACAGCTAGCCTCATATTCCCACCAAGGTGCTGACTTGCAAAAGCTTGTCAAGGCTCCAGACAGGAATTCTTGCAGCCTGTCCTGGAGATGTCAAGGATCAAACCTGGGACCTCATGCATGCAAAGCAGATGTTCTGTCACTGAGCTCTGTCCCCCTCACGGGACATACTGCCAACCTCCATTAATGTAATCTCAAATCTTGCATGGATTTCAAGGAGGACAGGATCTCATTTCCCAAAGCCAAGTGCCCCTTCTGAGAAATCTGCAATGGAGCAGTTCTCTCTCTCCATGACAAGCTCCTCGGTGCAGATCAAAATTATAATCCTGTTGTTGGAGTCGTTGCGCCACCTCCTGGCACAGCCCATGTTATATGCAGACACTTTTCCAGGAAAACAAATTGTTAAACAGATGCAGCATGCTGTCCCCAAAGAAACCAAACCTCCAGGGGAGGGGGGAGAACAAAATCCAATCTCCGCCAATTTTATGTCAGAAAAACAACTCCTCTCCTTGTTGAGGCTCAAATAAATTAAAACATGTGCCAACCGAGAATGAGGTTCATTAAATCATGATGTGATTGTGCAAACTGAAAACCCTGAGAAATGTTACCTGCCTGCAATTTTAAGGAATAATTGCTAACTCTCTAGAGAGTCCATGAATCAGTGTTTGAGCATGGTAATAGATTGAATGAGGGCCAACAAACTGAGTTTCAGTCCAGACAAGATGGAGGTGCCGTTAGTGGGTGGTTCGTCTGTCCAGTCGGATGATATTCAGCCTATTCTGGATGGGGTTGCACTCCCCTTAATGGACAAGGTTCGTAGTTTGGGGGTGCTCCTGGATCCAGAACTGTCACTTTAGGCCTAAATGGACTCAGTGGCATGGAGTTGCTTAAGCTGATATACCAACAATGATCCTATCTGGACAGGCAGAGCCTGGCTACAGTAATCCATGCACTGGTAGCCTCTCGTTTGGAGAAGTGCAATGGGCTGTACGTGGGGCTTTGATCCAAAACGGGGCAGCAAGATTGTTAATGGGGACTGGTTTACAAGAACATATTATGCCAGTCCTCTTCCAGCTGCATTGGCTGCCAGATGAAGTCTGGGCCTGATTCAACATTCCAAGCCCTAAATGACTTGGGGCCATATGTACTTACCTTCAAAATGGCTTGAAGGAACACCCTGTCCCATATGTACTTACTCAGACCCTAAAGTCATATTTGGGGGTTCTTCTCCAGAAGCCCCTTCCAAAGGAAGGAAGGAAGGAAGGAAGGAAGGAAGGAAGGAAGGAAGGAAGGAAGGAAGGAAGGGGGTAACTACCAAGAGAGGGGATTTTTGTTGTGGCAGTCTGGCTATGGAAGGAGCTCCCCAAAGAGGCACAACTGAAGCCTACTGTGTATTCTTTTTGGTGCTAGGTGGAAACCCTTTTTGTTTTCCCAGTATAGAAACAATTAACTTGTAACCTTTAGTGTTAACATTCCATTCTATCCTGCATTGCTGCTATACCTCTTTGCTGGTTTGGTTGCAGTTGCCGTAGATTTATTCTTATGTTGTTTTTTTTCCCCCTTTCTTGTTTGTGTTTTAAACTTTTGTCAACCGCCCAGAGAACCTTGGCTTTTGGGCAGTATAAAAATGAAATGAATAAATAAATACTCAAATCGTGGACTTTCTATGTTAGAATTTCTTCTTGTGGGGAAACTGCCAGGCTGGGAAGCAGCTCTGACCCTTTAGAAGCTGCCATGTTAATATGTTCTGAAAGGCTTCTGCATGGAATTTTTTTCCCAAATGTGTATTAGATGCTGTGGTACACACTGTACTGAAAAAACATGCTTTTGTTACCAGGACACTTTGGCAAAGAAATTCAGCCTCACACAAGAGAGCATGGCAATTCTCTTAATGTGTGTCCTTAAGAGGTCAGGACTAGCCATGCTCCACCATTGGCATCAGAACTGTGACGTGAACACTCATGTGGAAAGGAGGACAGGGTACAGGCAGTATAGAAAAGGGCAGGGGGAGCCAGCTGGGCTTTGTAGGGAGAGAACCTGACTGCCTCTCTTGGCGAGCATCCCAGAGTCAACCTGACAGGGATTCTGAAAATGAACACCTTGAAGATGGGAGTTTTGGGAATTCAGGGAGAGGCACAGGCCTTTGAAGTGCCCCAAGATTGCTGCCTACAGGTTCCCAGGGAAGCAGGAGTGTTTTGGAAGGGACAGGAGGGGGCGAAGAAGGGGAGGAGAGCTGTGTAGGTCAGAGTCCTTGTGTAGCTGGCCCTTCAACAGCTGGAGCTACCCTGAGGATGTGGCCCACAGAGTCACTTAAAAGTGTTTTGGGGAGAAGCCCCCAGCTTGGGTTAAACATTCTTGACATGAACAGAGGCTAATCTTTCAATGCACTAGAGTGGGGTGGTCCAACAAGCAGCCTGCAGGCCACATGTGGCCCCTGAGGCCTTGTCCTGTGGCCTTCTTTCCACTCAGAGCACCCCTGTTCTTTCCCGCAGTCCGGATCTCAGCAATGGCATGGGCATGATTGCAGTGAGCTCTCCTGAGGCCACCAGCCCAGCTCTCTCTCATCCTGAGAATGGGTCAGGCTGGGAGCCTTGCGAGAGCTTGCCCCAGCACGTCCAACACTGCTACAGCATGGGAGGGATCTGGGTGGGAGAAACAGGGAAGAAAGGGATGGGCCACCCCAGAGGAGCAGTCATTGTGCTTGGCTGCAGTTGGAGAAGGAGCTGCTTGTGATCTCTGCAGAAATCACAGGTCCACAAAGCATTTAATGGTTAATTAAATAGTGTACATTAAATTCCTGTGTTACAATATGAACATGCAATTCATTGTGTGGCCTCAGGGTTCCATGTCAAAGTCCTCATGTGACCCTTGAAGTGTGAAAGGTTGGCCTGCCCTGCACTAGAGGGCTTAGAGTTGCTTTGTCTTGTAGTTGAGAAATGCCAATAAAGATCTGCATTGTAAAGAAAGTGTTTTTGGAGCCTGAGGGCATGAAGGGAAGGGCCAAGCCTGGGTTTGGGGTCAAATTCCAAGTGGAGAGAAATGTGCCTAAAGCGGTAAATGTGCGTTCTTGGCTAAAGTAGAATTTGAAAGGGCAAGAAGGAAAGATTAAAACATTGCTTTATTTGTGAGCAATGAAATACAAGAACCTACTGTCGAGTATGTGAAATTAAATTACAGGCTTGGGACCTCCAAGAAGCTTCTTTGTCTTATGCATCCCATCTTCAAGAAGGGCACCCAAAGACCTTCTGAGGCAGATTGTAACATATAGCAATTCCCCAAATAATCTGGTCTAAAGCTGCTTGAGGAACTATAGATTAAGACCAGCTCTTTGCATTGTGCCTGGAAGACTGCTAGCAGCTCCCACAGTATCTGTTATGCACTCAGGCATCCCAGCAGTCACCAGCATCAGGAGTGCTTTTTGTAGCCACTGCATCCATCTTCTTTAAAGGCAGCCCTGCATAAAGTGTGCTGCAGTGGTCCAGTTTGGCAGTGGCCACTGCACAGTTAATGGATTCAGTTCCTGCCACTCCAGCGCAGACTGCAGCTGACGCAATAACCAGGCCCTGTAAGAGACACTCGATGGCCAGAAAGCACTGAGTCAAGGAGCATCTCCAAGTTGTACACCTGTTTTTTCAGTGGGGAGGCAAGCCCATCCAAAACCAGTTTCTCGCCACCATTGGAACTTGCCAGCTTTCCAATTCATAGAAGCTCCTTCTTTCCCATACGGCATCATCTTGTTTTCTATCACCCATCCACAAGCACCAGACTACTCAAGTCCACGCGATGATAGAGAGGGTAAATGGTCGGAACAGTACATCTTTTAACTAGCTCTCAGCAGAATGTGACATTTACTAAGTGTTGCCTATGCAGAATCTTCTTGAAGAAACTACAGGCTTCTTTCAAATCTAGAAAAAACCTGCCAACATTTACAAAAGCAGTAATACCTCAGATTCTGTTTACCTTCACTTATAAAGCAACCAGTTTCTACTTAGTGCCTGTACTCCCAAACACCAAACAACTATTTAATGGCACACTTCACCGTTCTTGTGAAAATAACATGGCAGGCATTTTCTACTATTCTTGAGTGTTTATGACCAGTTTGGGTGAAAATTCTAATTTCTGCTCAGAGACTGTGAAAACACCCAAACCTAATCCAAATAAAACATGCAAAGGAATGATAAAATGTATAGTTGCATACATGTGGAAATGGCAGGGATCCTCTCCCATATCATGCCTCAGCCTTAGATTGGTTAAGGATGGTGTCACATGCAAAGGTGCAATTTACTAGCCATGCAATGTTTAAACGGACTTTAGAACTTAGTTTTGTACAGACGAAGTAAGAACCAGGTATCCTAAATCTAGAGTAACAAGGCTGATCTTATGAAAAACTCCTTCTCCCAAGTCCTCTGGCCAAAGGCTTTCAGTCAAACCAATGAGTAAATTCCAACTTATACCTGATTCTACAGGATGCCCAGTTTCTTCCTCTTCACAGCCACTACATAACCTACTGGCTGGCTCAATCTAGGAAAGAAACCACCCATTCAAAAATGAAACTGCACTATTATTTATAACACATACTTTGGTGCTTTCCTTCAACAAATTCATCTCCTGCTTCTCCAGACATTCCTCCAGGATGAGTAATTTTTCCTGATCAGAAACTCTGGATAAACAACTCTGGACCTGGATCTGAACTAAACACAAAGGTCCAAGCTTAATTCTAATTCACTGGAGCTCAGACTTTAAGTGAGCACTCCGTTTTGCACGAGTCGAGTCTACCTCACTGCAAAGGAACTTGGGCAATCACACCTCTTGGATCACAGATGGCTTAACATTTGCCAGTCCAAGTGTCTGCTTCACTTGCTTACATGGCTGGACTTGCCTTCAATGTGTGATAGCATCCAGATTAACAGTTCAAGATGAGCAGCAACATAGTTTCTTCCGGTCCTTCTAAATTTAACATCATCATAAATAAACCGATCGCTTCAAGGAAATGGTGGCTGTAGCCAGCTTATGAATATTTCTTTATCTTATCAGATGAGACTTGTCAATACATAGTTAAGATCTTCCAACTGCTTGTAGCTCCTGTCTATTTTTGCGAAGGTTCCACTAGCCCACAGAGACAGGCTCATGTGGTACGGCAGACTCATCAGGCATTGTTTAATGCTATGATGGATCAAAAGATTCAGTTTAAGCTATTGTACACTATACAACTGGGACATCTTCCCATTGGTGCTTCACAATACTCTGTGCAGAGGGCAGGTTTGGCTAGTGCTCATTATGTTTTTGAGAAGCGACTTTAGAACATGATGACCTGTTTCACACAACATAACAGCCCATTGTGACTTTAGGGGCTGTTGTGCTGTGCGCCATTTTTTCATGGCAGCAGCAGGTGTCCAGCTTGCCATGTCCTTTCAAGTCATGCAACCCCAAGTGACATGGACTAGCCAACCCTCCAATAACCTACACATTGTTCTCCCTCAGTTTGCTGTAGGATGATGTGGGAGCTGTTTAACCCTCAAATGACCCTTCATGGCTGGGTTCATCATGCAGCAATCCTTATTCAAGGCTGCATATTCAAAATATTGGCTGACATGCTGTGGGTTAAGTAAGCCATGGTGAGCTGGCCCTGTCATGCCAATCTCCCCAGTGTGGGTTTCGCTTATGATGAACTACCTAGTCATATTTGCAAGACCAAGTTTATTTGCAGTTCCTCCTGATGCAAAGCACATGCTTTCTGAGGCAGAGGTTGGGGGAGAGAAAGGTGCTTCTAGATCAAATGCAGAGATTGGTACTATTATCATGTAAGAGACTAATCAGATGATGGTTTGATGATTGGATGCTTTTATCCTGTATTATCTACGATTGACAGGGCATTCTGATCACGTGAATGAAGTGTGTCCACCCACATGGGATGAGTCCTCTATGAGAAAACTGGCTGTTTGAGAACGTACTCTCTGAGACTGTTGGTACAGGCCATGAAACACAACACTCAACTTCATTTACTTAAAGTATTTTCCTGCCCCTCAGCCAAAAAGGATCTCGTAGCTGTTCACAAGAAATCACTTAAAGAAGACAAGCCCTAAATCTAAAAATGTGTGACATGCAAAGAAAAAACAGCAGGGAAGAAGAGGAAAAATAAAGTAGCTTTTTGGCGGAGTGGCCCGTCTTCCGCTCTGTTAAAGCCTGCTGGAACTGCTGCGCATGGTGGCAGTTCCCACTGCAGCACTGAGATTCCCTGCTGTATCGCCTAACACAAACGAGGACAATGCTGGGATGAGGGAATTAATCCTGGTCTCCTGCGGTCTTCTTCCTCATGCCTTTGGATATGCAGGAACCTTGGCCTGTATAGATAAAAAGAAGGCAAGGCACAGCATTAGGCCCCACTAGTGAGAATACAAACATTACAAAAAGTTTTAGTATCTTAAAGACCAGTGCATAAGCTTTTGAGCCCATTTTATCTGGTGCATGATGTATTGTAGTTCATTAAGTTGTTGTAAACCCATTCTGGGAGCCAAGTATGGCTGCTGAGTGGTATATAAAAACATTAAACAAACAAACAAACAAATGACATGCTGGAAGGGTTTTAGCTGGGAACGGTAGGGAAGAAGTAATGTTCACGTTCAGTCCCTGAAGGGCCTCCTACTTCCATTTGGATAGAAAGATGATAGCAAGTTGTGATTTCCAAGTTGCTATTTCCCTTTGTAAGGTCATCTTATGAAAGTGCACTAGGGAAAGATCAAAGTATTTGGCTCCAGCTTTTGTACAGTATACAAATTGGCTAGGACATTCCACCATCAAAGCCTCACATTTCACACAGAGACAAGCTCTGTCCAATGTTTGTTATGCTTCTGTGAAGCTCCTTTAGTGGACAGTGACCTGGCTTGCAAGCATAAATCCCAGGTGGCAGGGATAAGAAAACTCTCAAATAATTAATGGTTCATTCAAGGGATATTCGAGGGTTTTCTAAACTCAAACAACTCCTGCCACTTGATTTTTCATAATACAAGCCATTGCAAGCTGGGCATCATGCAAAATTGCACCTGTAGGAACCAAGCATAATGCAATAGTCCATACAGGTATATTAAGCCATGGCTGGCTATTGAATTATGTGAGCCAGCTCAACATTTGTGTATTTTATTGCTTATTTTGTAAACTGCCAAGAGAGCTTTGGTTGCTAGATGACATTAAAATATAACAGGTTGGTAGATAAAAAGACTAACTGAGAAAGAATGTACATGTGGGAGTCCTCCTCAACTCACTTTCCACAAAAGTCATTGTAGGTGGCCAACACGGAGAGGGATAAGTCAGGGTGACAGCGCAGCCAGTTCTTCACCATCTCTGGGTGTCTGGGTTCAACTTCCAGAAACACACTCCTAAAAGCAGAAGAGAAATGAGCTCAATCAAATCTTCTTCAGGACTGAACTTGCTTATTGAAAATGTTGGCACAGTGGCTCTGTGTAGAAGCACACACACACTGAAGCAGGACCTGCAACTGCTCAAACATATTGCACTTCCCCTTGGTCACACTTACTGGTCTGGACAGCTTTACAGGCACATATTAAGTATGAACTGAATGAAGAACCGCTGATGGCAGCCGCTGATGCCATCACGTGGCTACTCCAGCCCAAGTGCAGCTCTTCACGGATCAGAGCCTGGATCCTAACAGGGGGCCTCTTGAATTATTATGCAGCACTTAATCAGAGTACATTCTATAGTGAGCCAACTGATGCAGCCTGAATGCATCACTCTTGGTTACTTGGGAAAATAAGCCTTGACATTTTCATTACATTTCATAATTACTGGGCTTCCAATGCTGGTGCCAGGTTTTCTTATGTGTACCGGGGGGGTTGGGGGGGTTGGGTAAAATGCTCTCCATGGGCCACCTTCAATAAGTGATCCCACCTCTGCCCCCCTGGCACTGCCCATTCACTTCTGTCTCCTGGTCAAAGAGAGGAGGGAAGCATGGAGGCTGCTGCTTTCTCCCTACTTCTCTCACACCATGAAATTAGTGTTCCCTTTTGATCTAAATTTCACATTAAAACCATGAGACCCATGAAGCAATGGGGCACATTTTATTATTTATTTATTTAGGGAACTTCTATGCCGCCCCATTCTGCATGCTTTGCATGCAGATTCAATCCTCAGCATCTCCAGGTAGGGCTGGAAAAAGCTTATCTCTGCACATACTGAGAACAACAGGAAACAATACTGAGGATATTGGATACTTTCAATACACTTGTGAGAGTGAAACTCACCATGCCCTTAAACTGAGGCAATGAAAGGTTCTGAAAGGAGGACAGCACAGACAGGAGCGACCAGAATGCTGGGCCAGGCAAAACAAGCTGAAAACAGTATTCTAAGTACTGTCAGGTAATCCAGAGCTGCTGGGTTTGACTAAGGGGCCATCTAATTCAGCCCTGTTTCCAACAATGCCCAAGAACTGTAAGACTGAGAGAGCCACTTTCTGTTGCTCAATACCTGAACATAAGAAATTGTTTTCAGCTGGTCTGGTTGGCAGTCACTTGGAGCCTCCACCAAGATGAGAGTTGCAATTAATTCCAAACATGGAGGATGTATTATGCAAAATAGTGCTTTGCTTTGTTGGTCCTGAATCTACCGCAGATCATTTCTTACTGAATGACTCTCAGTGTAGTTACAACAACAACAACAACAACAACAACAACGACTTTTTTGCATCAGAAGAGAACACTGCATTCATTATTTTATCATAATCCTCATCTTATCTGCCAAATCAGTTATCACACTCTGGGCATAAATAACTTTCCCTAATTACACTAGTGACCAAATTACACAATATGCTAACTTTTAACGCATCTTGTTAAACAGCAGGAGGGACAATGAGGACCTGGTCAGCAGTGCAGGCAGAGAGCTTTTAAAACACTTCTCAGCCCTTCAAATGCATGATTTGCCCTAAAGGAATTCACCATTAGGATACAACAGCTTCTGGGAAATGATGATTTTCATCAGGAGCCAGGGTCCCACTCCTGATTCCCCCCTTGTGGCTGCTTTAAGAAAAGCAACAAAACCAACCAAGAAACAGTAAATGCAACCATGCATTTAATTCCTCATATAGTTTGGCCCTGAAGGTTATTTTCTGCCCAAAGCTAAAGGATTCAGCACCTCCCCATCAGAATGAATCATTCTCAGAATCTAGGTTTTACATGCACCCTGATAGCCATCTTAATAACTGTGTGCCCAAGCCCATCCCTTAGATTTTCAGCTCAATCACAGCCTATGCCAGTTTTGCTGGATACAAAACAGACTCAGAGGGAAGGAGCCAAACCCAAGCACTAAATGCTTCTCAGAATTCCAGAGCTTTCCCACACAAAACACTCCCTTTGAATCGGGCAGGCTCAGTCACACTCACATGTGGGTGTGGATCCTATTTGTGACCTAAAGAATGTTTTCCCCCCTCAATGTCACTGCCTCCACTTCCGGGTGGGGGATGGGAAAGAAAGAAGGGATATCAAAAGCCTTCATGGATGCTGGGAAACATTGCTTCTGTTTCAAGGTTAAAAAAAGAAAACCTGAGGCTTGGGATTACAAGGTTCCTACTCACATTTTGCCAAAGAGATTTTAAGGTATAATCCTTGGGCTGTTAAAATCAAAAACCCACAAGAATGTAGCAATATACTTGCTACTGGTTTTCGCTCTTATGTTCCAGAAAAAAAATACATTCTTCCCCACACAGAAACTGCTGGAAAAGGTTCAACCTTCTTCCAAACAGTTACTCTTCTAAGCCTTAAAAAAGTATTTACTCTTTTTAAAAGGCTTAAGTCCAAAAGTCTTAATTCCCCTTCTCCTTTTTATTAGTGCTACTTGCAGTCTTTTGGTCCAAGATTTCTCTAAAGCAGGGGCAGCCAACTTCTTTAACCCAGGTGAAGGGTATGAGATTATCCAATACACATTTCCCATTGCTGCGTCTTTTAGCCTACAAGCATCCTCTTCTTTAATAGTGATGGGGGGTCAACTGAGGAGAAAATGTGAGAATAGAGTGTAACTCTGACAAAGCCAAGAACATTCTGACGTTGCTCTCAGTGGGCTCTGCTACATGAGGCTGATAAAATGTAGCACCTGACCACTACTTTGAGATCACATCCGGCTTTCCTTTCCTACTTTTCCACTGCATAACCTCTAGGTGGCACTGTGGTGTAGCAGGATGGTACAAACACACAAGTGGAAATTACACTTTCCTTCATCATCAAGGGAAAAACACACAATTTTTATTTCTCTAAGTGTAGTTTATGAACAGAAACAAAAATGGACGGTCATAACATTGTCTAAAGAACCCCGGAACAACTGTGAGCAGGGAATGGTGAACACACAGCAAATGATCCATGTACCACCAGGCATTAGAACAAGGGCATGCCATCACCACGGAGGTTCTGGAGTATGACCCTGTTCCAGTGCTAGGAATATGTGGCCAGACGATAGCCGAATTCAGACATGACTCTCAGGAACAATGTGCTGAACACTGCACAACCTAAGATCAGTGCTGTGCACCTGAGAGTCAGGACTGCTTCTGAGCTGGGCCATCCCAGCCTTTAGAGAAAAGACATCCAGGGTGGTGAGTCACAGGCCTGGCAGGGGGTGGGAGGGGAGTTGCTTTCTTCAGCACCAGGAGGGCAGAGAGCTGGTTGGCTTACTCAGAAATGCCACTTTGCACACCACTACTGGTTCCAGCGCTACTGCCTGGACCAACAGCAGTGGGACTTCTGAGCAGGAAGAGGCAATACATGGCTGTCTATGTGTGTGTTTGGAGCAATGGACATGGCCCCTTAGCTCCCCCACTGGGAGCCTGCCCCCAGCAAGTGTGCCACAACCACGACATAAAACAAAAAATGACGTTTTCAATGCTTTGTGATTAGTTATGTGAAAGGTTTTCCTCAAGACTTTTAAAATCTACAGGGACATTGTAGTTGTGCAAAGAGAAAGGAAGCTGTTCTTGTTTAGGATGTTGGTTTGGTATTGAACAAGCTGTTCCGTTTGTTGAAATAGAGATTCTATCAAATATTTACTTGTGATAATCAGATTAATGAAGCTGCTTTGAAGAGATCTTTCTCAAACTTGTTTATCAGAGCTACTAGGGTGTTCCTCCTCCAGCCTTTATTTGCAGAGATCTGCAGTAGCAGAGTGAGGTCTTCCGGTTAATGGGTGTACCCTTAATACTAGGGAGTCACACCTCCTCTGTCATTGCAGGGCAGGATATTCTAAGAAACTGCTGCCTACCTGCCTCTGCTTTTCCCAAAAAGAACCACATTAAATAATTGAAGAACTGCCTCAAAGACTAATTTTTGGATCCATTTCTAAGAAGTAGCCTAATATCACTCCACACTCCAGTTTATCCACCTCTCCATAATTCCACCATTTCCAAACAACTTTTTATTCTATACATTTCAGAGACCAACACACTCAGTGGCTTTTGGAGTACCAGGCAAGAGAGGCTTTAGCTAGTAATACTGACAACTTAATGGGTTGGCCTTTGAGTTAAATGCAAAGAACTGTGTGCGTTAGTAAACATTTCCCCTTTATATACTTGGCGTATGGTAATAATTCTGAGGAAAAAACTTCCAAACAATTAGACCTAAGTTATTTTACCTATAAGCCCTTCTGGGGGGGGGGGGTGAGGAAGGGAGGGACTAATCATGCTGAATATAAGCACAGTTCCCTGTGTCCTGTCACTGTCTAGAGCAATATGAATGGGGTGATGGGGAAACTAGAGGTGATTCTCCACAGTATATTCCAGTTTTGGGCCCCTTTTTTCCTTATATAGAAAACCAGGAGAGAAAAAGTGATCAGAGTACATATGCCAGGGAGGGGCTTCCCCAAGCAGTGATGTGGTCCATCTCAGTCGTCCCTCTGTTGAGAGCCAGTGCAGTGTGATGGGAAGCGTAGAGGATGGGGACTCAGGAGACCCAGGTTCTAGTCTCCATTTGGCCATGAAACTTACTGGGTGGCTTTGCTCTCCTTGGAGGAAAGTTGGGCTATAAACATATTATAATGCAGCAATAGTAGTAACAATAAGATACCTGAAGTTATGAGGGTGGAATAAAGGGAGAGAGAACTGGGAAATGCTGGAGTTGCTTTCATTTGCTCTCTCCTGTGCTTCTCTCTCCCTAAGCTACTTTGGCTGTGCAGGCAGAGAGCACCCATCAGACACCCTCTTTCTCCCTTTCTTAACCTGACAACAGAGCCTGTTACATGCTGAAAAGAAGCCAGCATCAGAACTCACCCACAATCCTTGAGGATATATGAAGCCAGATTCAGGATCTCTTTGATAACACCCATCCCATCATCTCCTCCATCCAGGGCTTCCAGATCCTCATAGCTGGACACAAACAACAAAGTCTAATCATGATAATGAAAACCAAAGCATTATGTAGGTTTACTAACAGCAGCAAAACATGCATGCTACTGGAAAACAATTGCAAACGATAATACACCTTTAGATTCTTTTAGAAGTCTAGCAAGCAGAGACTGGAAAGCTGTGAAAAATGGGACACCAAGGACACTTCTGGTGCATCATTTTGGGGGATGATTATTGCTCATCCTGTTGCTGTCATTCACTGTCTGATTTGCCTTGAGCATGTGCGTTCCCCAAGATCCATGGGGGCTGTTACAAAGTTTTTACTCTCATCTCTTATTGTGCAAAGGAAACAATTTTCATTTACATGAAGTACCAAGTGCCAAATTAGATAGAACAGAGGAGGGACTATGTATTGAAACACAGATCTTCCCTAATCACACTGAAGGTGGTGTTGGTGTTTATCAGCACATGGAGTGACAGCAGGTGATGAATCCCAGTGAAACAAGCTGCAGGAAGCTCCCTTCCCACATACTTGGCAAAAGAACAGCCAGCTCCTGCTCACAGTTGCTGGGACTGGAGTGCAGAAAGGAAGCCCAGGCTGGCTTCTGTCATAAGCCATTCTCTTAGAGAATAAGCCATTCTCCAAGAGAATGAGCCCCCTGCTTCCCAGGAGTAACACTGAGCCAAGGAGGAGCCCAGGCTGGCCAGTCTGTTAGTCAAAGGAAGAGCAGGTGCAGGGATTTGCTGCTTCTTCCCTGCCAGAAAGATCACTCACACTTAACTGACTGCTGAAGAACAGAGTAGTCCTGCTCAGCACACAAAGAAAGAAAAGCTGCCAATTGCTATCTAAGCAGGAGCATCGGGAAATGAAGATCACCCTCTATTTCCTTTTCCCTCTACTCTTCTTCCCTTTGGTATCTTATTGTCCCTTTAGGGCATGGGTCCTCAAACTACGGCCCATGGGCTGGATCTGGCCTGCCATGCCCATTTATCCGGCCTGCCTCAGAGGCTTTGGACTCCCCGTGCCTGCGCCAGCCACTGCGCGCATCCACTGCTGCCTCACTGGCCTGCGCCTGCAGGCACCCCCGCCTCACCGGCCTGGACCCGTTGCCGCCACCTTTCAACTGGCCCCCTGTTGAAAAAGTTTGAGGATCCCTGCTTTAGGGTGTAATCCTGATGGCAGTCCTGCCCCTTTATTGATATGGGAAATGACTGTTGTCTGAAGAGCCAGGTAAAAACTGGCTCTTCTCCCTGCTGCTTTGGCTGCTGTTGCAGGCCTAAAACAGCTGGCAGGAACGGCAAGGAGCAGAGGAAGCCTCTTACAGCTGCCTCCAAGTGCCACATGCTCTCTTACTAGCCACTTGGCAAGAGCAGCAAAGGGATTTTGGGTGGCATAACAATCCATGAGGTTGCTACAACACAAACAAACCCTCAACACACCAATGGTGCTTGTTGTGGTTGGTAACCATGGCAACCAACCAGTGACAACAGTCACCACTTTGCTGGCATGTCATGTGAACACAACAGTGTTTTCCAGTTTAGTAACAGTGGTTGTAGTCCTTTGAAGTGAACAGCTAGAAATGCCTCTCGGCAGTTGAAGCATTCCTAGTTCTTTTGATCTTTAAATGCTATTTAGTCACTACCAGGTCCCAGTGCTCTTGGTCTTTTAAAAATCAAAGTAGGCATGACATGGGAGATCTATGAATAGGATCGTGCATCTCCTTTTTAAGGGCTAACAGCAACTAGTGAGTCCCCTGGTGTGACTGGAACTGTGGAGTGAGAGAACAGCACCTCCATAAAGTTACTATGTGCCCCATAGGCGATAACCTATGTAGTTCTTGCACTTTCTTCCAATAGAACAAACAGCAGCTCCAGCAATAACTATTTTAAACTGAGAAATGGCATTAAAACAAAAGGTTATCCCCTCCTCAGTGCCATGTCCCCTATTTTATTTTTTTAGGGCAAGGGGTTGGTTTCAGAGCTGCTAGAACAATTCTTTTAAAATAAGGAGAGATCCTATTAAGACATGACTTTCCCACATTGTGTCTAGTTTGGCCCTTAGAATCCAGCAGCCTTTAGCAATAAGTTAGGGAAGAATACTAGGGATGAGAGAAGGAAGAGGTATGAGACAACCTGAGGATTTCTGCAGCCAGATGAGTCATATCTTCATGGAAAACATAAGGTGGATTACTGATGATAGTATCTACCAAACCCCATGGCAGTAGACATTCCCAATAGCCTACATCAAGGAAAGAATAAAAACAAACATTATGCCTAATACTATGGTAAACTAGCACTCTCTAAATTATATGTGTTATGATCCTACAGTTATCCTGCAGTTGACATATACCTGCTAACTGCAACTATACATTGGTCTGGTTTGGATAATTATTCCAAACTTCATAAACCATTGTCTTGAATCACATGTTGGCTTTAGCACACAATGATTCCAGCTTATAGTAAGACACCACAGTAACATTAGAACTGGGGAACTCTGGCTTAATGTTAATTGACAGACCAGGAAAACAAGTCAAGACACTTGACAGCACTGAAAACAACTGCAGCAGGAGTTTTAAAAGATACATCAGAGGTTAAAAATTCTGGGGGCAGGAGGCTGAAACTTAAGAACATTACCAAAGGCACAAGTTGAGATTCCCTGGGGACAAGATTCCACAAGTTGCAGGAAGGGCACAATTGAAAAGGTCCTTCCTCCATTTCCCTCTTCGTTACCTCAAGAAATGGGGTTACCTCAGGGAGGGGCCTCTGAGGAAGATCTGGATGTGAGACTAGATTGGAGAGGGGTTGCAGTTCAGTGACAGAGCATCTGCTTTGCATATGGGGGGTCTTAACCTCAATCCCTGGCATCTCCGTGCAGTGCTGGGAAAGCCCCCTTCACATCTGAAACCCTGAGAGCCACTGCCACTCTGTGCTGACAATACTGACTTGGATGGACCAATGGTCTGACGCTGAATAAGGCCTATGGGGCTTAAAAGGTATGCAACCACACTTGGGAGTGTGCTCAGAAAAGACAGGAAGCCAGCAGACCTGGTTAAGCACAAGTGAGGCATGCTCTTAAGCTTTGCTCCCAGTTAACAGTCTAGCAGCTCTGCTTTAAAGTAGAGCTGCAGTTTCTGCACATTCTTTAACTGGCAGTCTCATACACATGTTCTGCAGCAGTCTAATGCAAAAGTTATCACTGTATGAATAACTGCAGCCAGTCTCTCTACCCAGGAGGAAGTTTTGTAGGAGGGACAATGGTACTGAAAAGCATTCTGTGCCACCAAGGTAATACAATCAAGATTTGTGAATATAGCCAATAGAAACTTTACATGTGAATACATTTCCCATACTCTATTTCCTCACTTTGCCAACACTGCACAAGTCTGACATGACATTAGAGTTGAGAGTATCACTTCAACTATACAAGGGTGATGATTCATACATATGGGCATACTGCACACTACAACGATACTGAGGAGGGGATGGGGAGATAAGGCCTCACTGGCAACTGTATTCTGCAGGTTACCGAACAGTGTTTGTGGCGTGTGAGTGAGCTAGTAGGCCCTTCTAGTGGGCAGATAGCTTTTCTTCCCTCTTCCTTGTGCCACCGAATGCAAGTAGGAAAGGGACTTACTTGAAGAGACATCATGGCGAAGGATAATGATCCTGTCCTGTAGATGTAATCTATGAACAGGAGAAAACACACAACAAATGCACCTTTAAAATGTTATAATTGACAACGCTTGTTAAAACCCATTCCTTCCAAAATACAACTACCAAAAAAAGGCCCTGAGGGAGATCAACTGCAATGTTACAGAATCACAGAACTGTAGGGAACTAATGTTGTTCTCTCATTTTTACTGATTCAGTTTTAGGATTTTTAATCTCCTTTCCAAGGTAAAACCACCAAAGTAGCATAGAACAAATTGAAACTAACAAAAGCATCACGCAAAACATTACATGGTATCACTACAAGAAGCCCTTCAAAACCGCACAAACTCAAAACAGAACTACCTGCTGTTGCAACCCACCAATTCTGCAGAACTTTTGAGCCATCAGTGTTGCCTGCCCCCATATTATGCTGTATGGGAAGACATTCTCACTCCCATTTTAATGACTCAAAGCTCAGAACTGCTAATCTGCAGAGAGCCATCTAGCACTCAATGGCTAAACTTGCAAACCTCCATCTCCCAGATGCCACATTCAATCTGTTGAGCTCCCCTTACAGTATATCACAGAAGTGAGTACACCCCTCACATTTTGTAAATATTTTATTCTATCTTTTCATGTGACAACCCTGAAGAAATGACACTTTGCTACAATGTAAAGTAGTGAGTACACAGCTTGTATAACGGTGTAAATTTGCTGTCCCCTCAAAATAACTCAACACACAGCCCTTAATGTCTAAACCGCTGGCAACAAAAGTGAGTACCCCCCTAAGTGAAACTGTCCAAATTGGGCCCAAAGTGTCAATATTTTGTACTTTCCAGCACTACCTTAACCCTCTTGGGCATGGAGTTCACCAGAGCTTCACAGGTTGCCACTGGAGTCTTCTTCCACTCCTCCATGATGACATCACGGAGCTGGTGGATGTTAGAGACCTTGCGCTCCTCCTCCTTCCGTTTCAGGATGCCCCACAGATGCTCGATAGGGTTTAGGTCTGGAGACATGCTTGGCCAGTCCATCACCTTTACCCTCAGCTTCTTTAGCAAGGCAGTGGTCGTCTTGGAGGTGTGTTTGGGGTCGTTATCGTGTTGGAATACTGCCCTGCGGCCCAGTCTCCGAAGGGAGGGGATCATGTTCTGCTTCAGTATGTCACAGTACATGTTGGCATTCATGGTTCCCTCAATGAACTGTAGCTCCCCAGTGCCGGCAGCACTCACGCAGCCCCAGACCATGACACTCCCACCACCATGCTTGCCTGTAGGCAAGACACACTTGTCTTTGTACTCCTCACCTGGCTGTTGCCACACACGCTTGACACCATCTGAACCAAATAAGTTTATCTTGGTCTCATCAGACCACAGGACATGGTTCCACTAATCCATGTCCTTAGTCTGCTTGTCTTCAGCAAACTGTTTGTGGGCTTTCTTGTGCATCATCTTTAGAAGAGGCTTCCTTTTGGGATGACAGCCCTGCAGACCAATTTGATGCAGTGTGCGGTGTATGGGCTGACCCACCACCCCTTCAACCTCTGCAGCAATGCTGGCAGCACTCATACGCCTATTTCCCAAAGCCAACCTCTGGATATGACTCTGAGCACATGCACTCAACTTCTTTGGTCGACCATGGCGAGGCCTGTTCTGGGTGGAACCTGTCCTGTTAAACCGCTGTATGGTCTTGGCCACTGTGCTGCAGCTCAGTTTCAGGGTCTTGGCAGTCTTCTTATAGCCCAGGCCATCTTTATGTAGAGCAACAATTCTTTTTTTCAGATCCTCGGAGAGTTCTTTGCCATGAGGTGCCATGTTGAACTTCCAGTGACCAGTATGAGAGAGTGAGAGTGATAACACCAAATTTAACACACTTGCTCCCCATTCACACCTGAGACCTTGTAACACTAACGAGTCACATGACCCCAGGGAGGGAAAATGACTTAATAATACCCAATTTGGACAGTTTCACTTAGGGGGGTACTCACTTTTGTTGCCAGCGGTTTAGATATTAATGGCTGTGTGTTGAGTTATTTTGAGGGAACAGCAAATTTACACTGTTATACATGCTGTATACGCACTACTTTACATTGTAGCAAAGTGTCATTTCTTCAGGGTTGTCACATGAAAAGATAGAATAAAATATTTACAAAATGTGAGGAGTGTACTCACTTCTGTGATATACTGTAGCTCCACTAAGGATCTCGAGACATCTGAAGGCCTTTTTTGTTAAACTACAGACTCATTTCCCTGTTTTTGTTTTTTCTTCCAGCACCAAGTGATAGAAACCCTTTCTTTTAAGTGAACAATACAGGGTTTCCTCCAACACAACTGTGCCATATGGAAGCTTATCCTAGAAGCCATTCTATATTGCTGCTGTGATATGTCCCAGCACCAAATTCCTTTTTGCCTCCACAGTAGAGCTACTCTAGGCTTTGCATTTAAGGACAAACAAGAACAAATGGAAGTGGACCAACTACTCATGGCAAATGATAACAGATGGTAAAGGAAAGACAGATGTGCTCAATTCTTACTTTGGCTATTCTTTTGACTGAAATTATAGCACTCTATAAGTACATGAAAGGTGGTCACAAAGAGGAAGGACAGAATCTGACCCTCATCATACCATAGTACAGGACACAGAATAATAGGCTCAAGTTACAGGAAGCCAGATTCTGGCTAGATATCAGGAAATCCTGCCAGACTAACCTTTTCCTGTCTGTTAGAGCAGTATGACAATGAAACCAATAGGGAGGTTGTGAGCTCTCCCATCCTGGACAGCCATCTGAGAGGAATGGTTTACTTGCACTAAACAGGGGGCTGGACCCAACAGCCTTCTGGTCCTTTCCAATTCTACTATACTATGAAAAGAGAAGAGACAGCAAGTCTTCAGGGTGACTGAAGAGCGCTTAACATCTGATGAAAACATGACTTTAGTAGCAATCCTATGACTTCTAAACATTCTCTGAGAGGCCACAGAACATTTCAGATTCCCATATACATTGAGGTTGGAGGAAACATTCTGACCTTGGAAGAGAGAACCTGAGCTCTGTTTCCCATCCTCCTTCTGGCCAGCACAGAAAGAACTGCACCAGCAACTCTCTGAGATCAGGAAAGTGATCTAGAATAGGGGGTGAAGAGAGTGGGGAGCTGAAGAGACGGGAGTGGCCAGGATACAGGGTATCCTGAAACTGCTTCATTCTCTCTTCCTCCAACCAAGATCTCCCTGCTAGAAGAGCTAAAAAGCCTATCTATTGAGAATACAGAGTAGAAGGGCAAGCAGGTGAAAATTACCTCTGCTGTCATCCCCATTTGGGGACTCACAATGCCAGAGGATTATGCCCTTAACTGCATTTTTAATGAGATAAGAAAACAAGGAGGAGTGTCTATGTGAGTGAGGCCAGGGTCAGGGGTGGGGAGGAATGACTCGGCTCATATTAGACAGAATATAGTACCCCATGCTTCAAACTAGGCCATTGTATATGGCAGTGGCTATGCAACTAGCTTAGAAGATGCAGTACCAGGGATGTTGGTGTGACGCCCCTCATGCCCTATCTTGAGACAGTGATATCACGGAGATAGTATATGACCTGGACCATGGGAAAAATGGTCAGGGTTCATATCCTTGCCTAGGCACAAGGCTCCCTGTGCTCCTGTAGGTCAACTGCTTTCTATCAGGTTAACTTATCTCACACAGCAAGTTTTTATTAATTTATTAGTAACATTTATGTGCTGCTTGCTACAACAAACTATCTTATTGGTTCACATAGAAATAAATTGCAGGGCTACATATGGAAACAGCTTTCAGATCTTTTTAGATATAGTAACTAGGGTTATTTAACCCTAATTTAATTAGTAAAACTTTTTTTCCTAAATGAGTGATTCCCATTACTGTCTTAAGTGGTACAGTCCAGGAGAGCTGAACCACATGTTCATAATGCATAGACTCGACTCAGAGGGGAACATCCCAGTTCTAAAAAGCATGGATAGAAATGCAATGATGCTGAATAAAAAGATTTTTTGCAGTTGTACATTTTTGCAAAAGTGTATTATTATATGAGCAGAAGTACAGTGGTACCTCAGCTCACGAACGCCTTGGTTCACGACCAAATCGGGTCGCGAACAAAAATTTCATGAAAATTTTGACGTGGGTCGTGAACGCTGTATTGGGTGGCAACCAAGATCGCAGCCATCTCCCCACCCCCCAGAGTGGAGAGATGGCCATGATCACAGTTGCGTTTGTGCAGGGAAGATGTGCGTGATCACAGGCGTGCTCCTGCAGGAAAGACGGGTGCAATCTTGGCCATCGACAAGTGAGGAGATGGCCATGATTGTACTGGGGGTGGGGTGGGGAGATGGCCGAGATCGCGCCTGTCTCTCCCTCCCCCAGCATGCCCCGTTTGTGCCCGTCTCCATCCCCGCCCAGCGCGCTGGGATGACGGGCGCGTGCAGGGATGACAGGTACGATCTTGGTTGTGCTGAGGGGACGGGGAGATGGCCACGATCATTGTTGTCCTTTGTCACTTTGCTTCACATTTTTCTGATTTTAAAAAAATGGTTACAGAAAGGATTAACCTTATTTACATTGAAACTTATGGAGAAATTTAACTTGGCTCATGGCCAATTTGGCTCATGACCAGAGTCCTGGAACAGATTAAGTTTGTGAGTCAAGGTATCACTGTATAGAGTTCAGCTATTCAGCAATCCTTACACAACCAATACCAATGTTAGTGCTGGAATTTCAGAACTAAAAAAAACGATGTGCCAAGTTCTTATTACCAGGTATCTTAAGCATCAAAGTCAGTTCCTGATTAGGAAGGAAGGAAGGAAGGAAGGAAGGAAGGAAGGAAGGACGGAAGGACGGAAGGAAGGATGGAAGGAAGGAAGGAAGGACACACACACACCATCACCATGGCTTTAGGAGATGGAGGTGTAACATTAATTTTTTTTGCTCACATTTTTTCTCTGCCTTTTCATTTATGTCCAAAAGTATGACAAAATTGTTTTGGTTTTGCCTTTCATGCTTTTATTAAAATCCATGATATATTTATGTTATTTATTTCTAAGTTTTTCATGTCTTTAAATGCAATTCAGAGTCCTTGAAATTTTTAAAATACATGCTCACAGCCTTTTCCATGAACAAAGATGGCCTTTGTCACACTAGGAAGGTTGAAGCCAATAGCTCAAGACAAGGGGGAGCTGCATCCTTAGTGTATGTACACGGTGAAATACTTGAGTGTGGGTTGCATGAAGTGTGTGCTGTTCGCATAAAGAGTTTACCAAGTTACAGAATATACAGAAATGGTCAAAAGAGCTAACCCTGAAGTTCTGTTGTGGAGCAGAAGGGAGAAAGCTGTGCCTTCCTAGATATTTTAGACAACAGCCTGACCACTGGTCATGTTAGCTGGGACTTATTGGAGTATATTTGTGGATTGGCAACTCCAGGTTCTAATACCTGGCCTGTTTGTGGGGTTGCTAAATATTTGATTTCTCCCCCTAGCAAGATACAAATCCCAAATATCTATTAGATTGAGCCACATGAAAGTTCACTACATTGTTTGGATGATACAGTATAAAATGTAAGTAAGGTGGGACAAACAAGGCAAATGCAAAAGGCAATCTGAAACGGGTTGCTGTTTTAAACTTAGACTGAGTCACAAAGGACAGTCTGGGGAATTTGTAGCAGAAGTGGACTGGGGCCAAAAGAGCCAAAGAATGCTTGCATACATGGAGGCACCACATGCAGAATGTGTATATAGTTCAGATGTTTAAAGCTTGATACCTTAACTTGCAATTTCCATGCATATAAATGTAATAATAAACATGCAATAAATATGCAATATTTGCACGTTTATTGCAAATAATAAATGTGGAATTCTTGCATGTATGAATTATAAGTAACTCTGAAACAGATGACTTTTAAAAACCATTATATTAGCCCATTGTGCTTTCTACACTGGATTTATGCATATGCTACATCAACTGCTGGGGCTAGTGAGCTACTTATTTATTAAAATACATATATATTGGCCAATGGACTGTATTTCAAGAGCCCCAGTGGTGGATAACTGGACCTGACTGACAAAGTAGTAAATTCAACAAATAAAAAGGGGCAGTGTGGAGTGCTCCTATTCTGCGATCCAGACATTTCATTCAATTCTTTCTTTTACTGGGATCCTGTCCCATTCCCGGCTCCCTGCCCACTTTCTGTAGTAACAGAGGTTGCTGGGTGTGTGTGTGTTCCTAAATAATTTTCTGTACTTCTGCAAACCTTGGGGTTTTCCCTAAGTCTGCTGATGCCTTCCTATTGTGTTTGGATGGTGCTATTTCAGCTACAGAAGGAATCACCTCAAATATTTGTTCACTATCAATATTTAGGATGTGCGCTTTTACCTTTCAGCATTTTCTTTGGTTAGATTCACAGCCGCTTCTGATTTATCTATGGCAATGACCTGGCTCTGAGAAAGGAGGGAAGGGGAGGGAAGGGAAGCACACATAAGCCATTTATTGGGTACAAATGAATGCCCTCTGTGGAAAGAACAGGGAATAGTACTTTCCTAAGGCTACTAGAGAGTCTACTATTCTATTATTAGAACGTACTATTAGATATTAGATAATATAGTCTATATTAATAGAATATAAAATTAGGGAGTCTAATAGACTATGAGAGAGCCTTGTCAGGTTATTCAGTGCCCTATAAATTTACAAACAAACAAACAGACTGAGTCATGACCGCCACAGGTGTTTTAAGCTGATCTTAGAAACTTGCTCTGAGGTAAGAGCTGGGACCCTGAATGCAGAGCACTCTCATCCTGCACTCACACAAAAAACTCAGAGCAGAATGTGTGCAAATAGCTTAATTCTTATTTTAATTTGCACAATTGCAGAGGTCTGCAGATGCAGGAGTGTAGGGATTTGAAACCTCAATTGGGTCAAAGTGCAGGAGGGTACCTGCTACCAAAGTGTGGAATGTATCAACCTTGGACATTGCCCCAAAGAGGCTCCAAACAGGTTTCCTTCCTTTTTGCTTTTTTCCTTTCCGGCTGTCGGGAAACAGACTGTCAAGAGAAACAAAGGCATGAGAGATCTCTGCTTGAAAAAGGGGAGAGGTGTGACTAATCCCCTCATAGCAAGATCCTCACCTTTTCCCCCCATAACAGCCCACAGGATGATATACATTATGCACATTTTTAAAGACTCCAGGTACTTGGGAAAATGCACCCTCTTTTTCTTGGGAAAAGGAATTCTGACAGCTAGCATTTGACAGGATAATGGGTGGTCTTTGTCAGGCACATATGGCTCTGTGTGTAAAATTTTCTGATATGGTCATGAACAACCCTGCATATTTCCTTATTGGTAGTCTTGAGGCTCACCATCTTGTCTTTACGCTGCTGTCTGTGCCACATTCCAGCAGGAGCACTCGTTTCCACAGGGAGGTATAGTTAACCCCTGCTCAATGAGCCATTATCCCCAAATTCCTAATGTTCATTAAAACAACCTCTCTTCTAACCCTTGTAGAATTTGAGACAGTAGTCAAAATGTGCAGCCATTATCCTGCACTGTTGTTTTCTGAGAAACCATCCTGCTCGTGCCTTTCATAGTTGCCCTTAGCACTAGGAGCAAATGCCTTTCTGGGTGTGTTAATCCCTGTTGGAGCCTTCCCTGTTAGGAAGTAAGCAAAGCCATATAAAACATTTTAGAAATCCAGGAGTAACTGAATTTGGGCAGCAGTATGTCAACCAAAAGGCAGGAGTTCATGATATCACTCATGTCTTAATATTTTTCTGAGTGAAGAAAATAAAGATGAAAAGGCATTACTCTGACAATATGTGCAGCTAAAGTTCACCATTAGTATATGCATATTGTAGGAGGGAAGGCTGTGTCTGAGCTTGTGGATTATACAAGTCCTAGAACGTAGCCCAGCATCACTAAGTGGCTACTTGAAAGTAGAGCACTTGCAAAATAAAGCGTGAATGTGGTATGCAGTCCTGCCATTAGGCCTTCATTCAAAAACACTTCTAAGACATAGCTTTTCCTCCTCCTACTTCCTTGCATTTTTTGGATGAAATGGGAGCACAGATGAGATGGTTTTTATGCATATAGCGAACAATCCACTTACATGGGGCAACTTTTTCAGAAGACTCAGAGCAATTGCCCCTGAGCCGCAGCCAACTTCCAGGATCACAGGACCATGGGGCTCTGGGGACAGCAAAGGATTCTTGCAGCATGCTGTGGTCACTCTCTTCCTCAATTCTTCAGCCACAGTAAGGGAGACCAGTTCCTAGCAGGCAAAACCAAACCCTGTGATGCTTCCATCCTGAGTTCTCAATTTCCTGTTTGGACATCGTATGCTGTGAGACACTTTGGAGATTGTTTGTTGAGCCTTGTGCTTTTGCAGGCAACAGACCAGGGAATCAGGTGTATCTGTCCATTTTACCATTTTACTTTCTTGATGAAATGTGGAAGCTTATTTCATTGCCAATGAAAGCCCATGTCTCAATGGTACACTAAATTTGTCCTTGCCCTATAAAAGTGTGGTAGCCAATGGTGTTCTTTCACCAAGGACCATGGGTAGAATGGATTTCTTCCGCTTCCCTGTAAATTGCCCCCCCCACAAAAAAAAATCTGTTCCAGATGTGTGGGAAACCATCCAGAGTATATTGACAGTACATGTACAAGTGATCCAGCTCATAGCCTGGGAGCAGCTTTGGGTATGATGGGATATCCAAATTGAAAGGGAGCACAAGACCCTCACATGTTTTCCTCTGCCAACAGTAACTCATATGTAATACAGATTATGCATCTCCCTTGGGAGTTTACACATTTTCTGAGAACGGGAATGGCAGAGATTGCAATTCGGATGTGACTCTTCAGCTCCATGTGACAAACATACTAGAATAAAAGTCATACAGAGGGTAGAGAGAGGAGAAGAGTAGCAATTGACTGCTTTGCAGTTGTGTAACACAGAAACTGGAAGGAGTGGGGCAGAGAGAGTGAGAGAGAGTGAGAGAGAGAGAGAGAGAGAAAGGGATGCAAGGAAATAAAAACAGAGCCTGTATTGATAGTTCAAGTCAGTAGCAGGAAAATTTACCACCAGTATAATTGAAACTGCATCCTAACAGATTGCTTTGTTACAATACAATCTTAGCTATGTCTACTCAGAAGTAAACTACAGTAAGTTCAATGGAACTTATTCCCAGGTGTGTTTAGAACTGCCACCTTGGTTTGTGAATGAAATTAGTGCTTGAGAATTCCTCAAATATAGGATACTGTGAAGTGGAAGTGCCTCAGTTCTAAACTAGGGTTATCTAGAAGTGGGTAATGAGCATTAGAACAAGTGTGTGTGTGTGTGTGTGTGTGTGTGTGTAAAATCTTTGACTCAGCAGAAACATACTCCAGGACAAACACATGCATGCCCATGAGATCATAAAATGATTGTTTGTTGTTTTCAGCACTAATTTCTATTTTTATGTAAATATTAACACAGCATGGAAGCTTGTAGGAAGACAGATTTCTTCATAACTGAGAACTATATAGGCCTCCCTCAAAAAAAAACCTCAGCCTTCACCAACAGAGAGCCCAGATTGTCTCTTGACACACTGGCAAATAAGCAACCAAAAATACAGCAGAAGAGATTACAAAGCCTAGAAGGACACGCATCCATTTCTCCCAGTTATTCTCCACCACAACGGTGTCTGCAGGGCACTACAAGCAGTTGCTGTGGAAACAAGATGTTGCAAACAGGTGACTAAATGCAGCTACTAGGGCCTAAGAGTTGCTGAGGGCATTTTGGAACAGTGGCAGATTGGCAACATTCACACTAATGAAGGGAAAAGGAAAAAAGAAATATTGCAATGGTGTCAGCTCAGTGTAAGGATGACAGCCTTAAGGGACCAGTCTGCCTGCTGCAGAGGCAGACTGGTGGGAGGTGTCCTTCTGCCACTGTTCCACTGGTCATGCATTCCCTTCTCTCTCTCCACTACAGTTGTTCACCACCACGCATAAGTCATGCAAGCCATGCTATATACATGCAGCTCACCCTGCGGGTCAATTCATGCTTCCCACCTGAGGTGAAACCCTCATAAGGTAACCTTTCATTTTTACATCTGTGTGTGTATGTGGGAGGATACTGAAATTACCCCAAACATTAAAACCCCTCAAGGGAAGCATTCATTCAGAACAGTATTACCTAAGATGGAGATGTTAGGCATTTCCATGAGAGTGCAGCTTCAGCCAAATGGCTCCCCTTGTGAAAAGCAGATCCAAAGTCACATAATACCGCAAGATGCTTGCTGACTTACTTCACCACCAAGCCAAGAGCCCTCAAGGTTTCCAGCATATTCTCCCAAATCCAGAGTAGTAGCTCCACCACAGAGGTCTAAGTAGGCGTATGAGATTGGGGTGTAGTGGTTTTAAGATTTAAGTGAGGGGCTACACACTAAGCTGACAACATGCACCCACTTCTGGCCTTTGGACTGAAAGGAAATACTGGTATGCCTTCGTAGCAGAGGAAGCCAGCAACCCACAAAGAGAAAAAGGAATCATAGCTTAAATCTGGAATAATGGCTCATCAATTGTCTCGTAGTCACTTAGATGTTTCAATCGAAAAAGAACAAGCTTGTGCAACTTTATGAGCTAAAGCAAGGAGATGCAGTTTCTCCATGGCTGAAGGGAGAAGGTGTTTTTGTGAACTTGCCTCAGAACATTTGGGACAGAAGCCTAATTATTTTGGAACATGGCCAATCTTTTTAGAAACAGTGATGGAAGGCAGCATTCAAGGGAGGCCTGAGGACAAGAACTGGGAGCACATTGTGCCAAGAATATGTTTCTGGAGAACTAGAAAATGTTGAAATGCCTGCTCTAATACGGGCAGTTTATTAGAATACAGGTAAATCTGGCTCCCATGGAGATACTGCTGCTCATGGAATATTCTTACAATGGCTGTAGGAAGGTCTGAGATCACACACAAACTCCGGAAAGCAGGCCTCTGTATCCAGTACTTTCATTTGTTTTGCTCTCTCTTTTTCAAAGACGAAAACCAGAGTTGGGAATGTACTGTTGGCAGTGGTGATAACAAGAGCTCTTCCTCGAATTTGCAGATGAAGTTTGTACCTATACCTAGAAAGCTTGGTCAGCAAGAGCGCCCTTGAACACGTTGGCCTTCTGGCACTTTATGACTATGTGTTATTTATACAAAGGTTTCAGCACTTCAGGAAAATGTCAAGCATCAGGATGGAACACAGAGAAGTTTAATTCACTAACATGAAGATATAATCCAGAAGCTTATATGGCACTTGCAAAAGGAAGGAGTTTGTTTCCTCCTCTTTTGAGTCTGTGTGCTTAAGATCAAAATTACATATGACAGAGGCAGACCCATTTGTTCGAAACTGGGCAAAGCAAATATTAAGAGAACATGGGGGTGGACCTCCTAGATTCTTTCACTGGGCCATGATTTATCCCCTTCATAGTCTGTCACTTCTGGTGCTTTTCTCACTTCCAGAATGTTCCAATATCAAAAGTGAACTTGGTTGGGAGAAAAGTTCCCAGGAAGGAGAGTTTACGTGAGGCAGGTTCATCTCCCTTTTAGAACTCTTCTACATGAGGCTGTTAATAGCTGTATCTAGAGTTGGATACATTATAGAATAAGATTTCCCCAGTCAACAGATCAGTTAATGTTACTGATGGCATATGAAAAGGCTGTTCTGTTCAATGTAGATGGCATTTTGAATCATGTAACATTGAGTTTAATATGAATGACCCCCCAGCCTAGTAATTATTATTTTTTACTCTAATAGTCATCTCTAAAATCCTTTAGGAGTCTCACGTAAAGAATAATTAAAATTAAACCAACTGGAAAGAATAAAACCCCTGAGCTTTCTTGGACCCTGCTATTGCTATATCAGTTCCCTTGCCCATTTCTGTGCTGTTCAACATAATGCAGCATAATGTATAATGTGGCAAAAACTCATATGCTAATTGTAGCTATTCTTGCTTTAGAGAAATAGCTAGGCATAACCAACTGTGCTATGATAGACAAATGCTCCAAGGGTTAATTCACAATACTAGAACTTGAACCTTATATGCTTATTTTGTGCTACTCAGCATTATACTGTCAGAAGGCAATAAATTGCTGCCTATGAAAATAGGAAACAGAAAATTACCTTGATTCAGCAAAAGGTTGGCATGGCTAGCCAGCTCTCATTGGACCTTAGTCACAATTAATTTTATTTGGATAAAGGCTCAAGAATAAATTGTCCAGGGGCCACTGATTAAGCCAAGGCTGCTCAGACAGTGGGATTTTTTATGTCCGGTCTGCTATAGAAAAATATAAGGGCCTGGTATGGTCCATACAGTGCCCTAGTGTGTCACTCTTTGCACTATACTTTCTGGAAATCCTTTATTATTATTATTATTATTATTATTATTATTATTATTATTTTGTTTATGACCCTGAAAGTCCTCTAAAATGACTAAAATTCATAGGTTTGCACAATGTTTCAGAAACAAAACATTGTTCTTCCTGGTGACAGCCCTGCCACTCAACCTTGCTATTTGCATTTGTTTCTTTTTGCTTTGATAACATAAGAAACATCCTGCTGGAGAAGCCCAGTGTTCTGTTTGCACACTAGGCCATTATAGCCACTAGTGGGAAACCCACAAGGAGGACATGAGTACAATGGGCATCTCTTGCCTGGGTGCCACAGCAACTGCTGTATGCAGGCATGCTGCCTTTGAGGTAGCATAAAGCCTTCGGGACTAGTAATCATTGATGGGTTTATTCTATATGAACTTGTCTAATCACCTTTGAAACCTATCAGTGGCTATCATTACATCTTGCAGAAGTAAATTACATACAATTATGCACTTTGTGAAGAAGTCCTAGCTTTGATCTCTTACCAGTCAGCTTCATTGAATGGCCCCTTATTCAAATATTGCGAGAGGAAGAGAAAAGTCTTTCTATTCACTTCTTCATGCCATGTATAATTTTCTATACCTTTATGTCATCTCCACTCACTTGCCTTTCCTCTAAGCTACACAGTCCCAGATGTAACATTTCTTTCGAGGGTAATTGCTTCAGCCCCTCAATCATCTTAAAGGTAAAGGTAAAGGTTTCCCCTTGACATGAAGTCCAGTCATGCCTGACTCTAGGGGGCGGTGCTCATCTTCATTTCCTAGCAGAGGGAGCCAGCATTTGTCTGCAGACAGTCTCCGTGGTCATGTGGCCGGCATGACTAAACACTGAAGTGCACGGAACGCTGTTACCTGCCCACCGGAGTGGTA